TGGGTGGTGCCACCCCTGGGCAGGTGGGCCTGTGTTTCATGAGAAAGCAGGCTGAGCAGGGGCCAGGGAGCAAGCCAGTAAGCAGCATTCCTCCATGGCCTGTGTTCCAGCTCCTGCTTCCAGGTTCCTGCCCTGAGTTCCTACTTTGGGCTCCCTAATGAACTGTGACCTGGGAGATGTAAGCTAAATAAACCCTTTCCTCCTCAAGTTGGTAGTGGTCAGAGTGTTTTGTCACAGCAATAGAGAAACAAACTAAGACAAATACTGTGTCCATTTAGCAGAATGATAGTAGCAGGCTCTCTCCTATGACTGGCTCCTAGGCATGAAATCAGTGCAGGTATGGGCTCCATCTTGTGAAATGGACCTTAAATTTAACCAGAATGTGGTTAAGTTCTGTACAGTGAGAAATACCGTCATTCCAGTGGAGATACAACCCACAGAATGGGAAAATATCTTTACCAGCTATACCTCTGAAAGAGGGTTAGTATCTAGAATATACAAAGAACTAAAAAAGGAAAAGCCTAAATATCACACAAACCAGGGAACTAAATGGAGTTTTCAAAAGATGAAATACAAATGGCTGAGAAGTATTTTAAAAATATTAAGAATTTTAGTCACTAGAGAAATGCAAATTAAAACTACTTTGATGCTTCCTCTCACCTCAGCCAGAATGACTAAGATTCAAAATATAAACTGCTAAATGCTGGCAAGGATATGGGGAAAGGAGTGCTGGTGGGAGTGCAAACTGGTACAGCCACTATGGAAATCAGTGTAGAAATTCCTCAAAAAGGTAGAAATAGATCTACCACATGATCCAAAAAATTCTCTATTCACTATAGAGATACCTGTTCATCCATGTTCATTGCTGTTCTATTTACAGTAGCCAGGAAGTGAAAATAACCTAGATATCCATCAACTGAAGAATGGATAATGAAAGTATGGTACACAATGGAATATTATCCAGCTATTAAGAAAAACAAAATTAGGAAATTCATGGGCAAATGGTTAGAACTAGTCTACAATTTTCATAATTATTAGTGCTGAGGATAAGCAAAAATAGCAAAACATACATCTTGCCTTTCTTCTTTCTTGAGCAAACAGGTAGCTTCTTTTTATTAGCAATTTTGTTTTTCTGGGATGTGTGAATGGTAGGACATAAGAACTTCTAGGATGTCTGTTCTTGGCTGGGTGTGGTGGTGTAGACCTTTAATCCCAGCCCTCAGGAGGCAGAGGCAGGCAAATCTCTGTAAGATCAAGGCCAACCTGATCTACATAGAAAGTTCCAGGCCAGCTGGGGCTACACAGAAAACCTGCCTTTAAAAAATGCAGGTAGAATGTCTGTTCTCTATGAAACACATTTGTAGTTATTCCTCACTGTTCTAATTTTCCTTTAAAGACATGTCCTTGGGTCTGAGGAGATAACTCAATTGTTTAAGTGTTTGCTTTGGAAACCTCAAGGCCTAATTTTCATCCCCAGCACCCATGAGAAATACTAAGTGTGGTAGTGTATGCCTGCTATCTGTGTGCTGGGGAGGCAGAGGCAGACAGATCCCTGGGGCTCTTTGGCCAGCCAATCTAGCCTAAATGGCAAGCCCCAGATCTCAGTGAGAAACTCTGTTTCAGAAAAAAGGTGGATAATTCCTAAAGACTGACATCTAAGGCCTCTACACATGCATGCTCATTTGCTTTTTTTAAATTAAAAAAAAATTTTTATGTGTATGAGTGTACAACCTGTATATATGTAAGTGCATCTATGTCGTCCAATGCCCACAGATGTCAGAAAGGGCCTTGGATCCTTTGGAACTGGAGTTATGGGTGGTTGTTAGCTGCCTTGTGAATGCTGGGAGCAGAACCCAAGTTCTCTGCAAGAGCAGCCAATGCTTTTAACCGCTGAGCCATCTCTCCAGTCCTGAAAAACTAGTTTTTACATGTAAATGGCATGCCTTTCCAATATGTAGCTGTACTGTAACATATTTAATTGATACCTATTCTTAGGCATGTACATAATTTCTAAATTTTCTCTATAATAAGCAAGACTTTTGAATATCTTAGTAGCTATACTTCAAAATTTTAAATTTATTTATTTTTGTTTTATGTGTATGAGTGTTTTCCCTGCTTGTATCTAAGTGCACCATGTGCATGCAGTGCCCACAGAGGCCAGAAGAGGGTGTCAGATTCTCTGGAAGTGGAGTTACAGATGATGGTTGTTAGCTACCGTGTAGGTGCTGGAAGCCAAACTTGCATTAAGAGGAAATACTCTTAACCACTGACCCATTTCTCCAACCCCATAGCTATACTTCTTAACAGCTTTTTTTGAGGATATATTAATCTAAATTCTAAAACCTTTGACATATAGTATTTTACTGCTTGAAATTCTTTTCTAGTTTATACTCCCAGCATCACTGTGCAAGTTTTTAATTTTTGGCACTTTAGCCATTTAACAAGTAAAATTTGAATTGTTTGTATGTCTTTTACTACAGGGGATAATTTTGAGAAAGTAAACTTTTAATTTTGATCAAAGTTAATACATGGAAATGTTAAAAGGAAAGTAGTAAGAAAAACCCATTGTTTTCTTCTGTTTCTTATTTCCCACTTTAGGAAATACTTTTAATTCTTTAGATTATAAATGGGTTTTTTCCCCCTAGTTTTATTTTTTCTGTTAATGTCTTTCTTATAAAAGAAATTCGGCATCTTTTAAATAAGTTTCATGACATCAGTTTCTCTTTTTCTGAAGCTCTGTGTTCCTGCTTTGATCTAGGTTGGGGGCTTTTAGGTTTTTCTTCTATAGATTTCACTTTACTACTTTCCTTGTTTTCTCTTAGAAGTAGATTCACTTTTTTCTGGAGTTCACACCTTTTTTATTTTAATATTTTTAGCATTGGATGGTTTCATACATGTATATATTTTGATCATATCAACCATTCATTGCCCCTTCTTGTCACCTTCCACACTCTCTGAACCCCTTCTTCTATCCAACAAATCTCCCTCCTACTCTCTCTCTGTCTCTCTCTTTCTCTCTGTCTCTCTGTCTCTCTCTCTGTCTCTCTCTGTCTCTTTCTCTCTGTCTCTGTCTCTGTCTCTCTCTCTCTCTCTCTCTCAGTGACCCACTAAGTTTAAGGAGGGTTACTTGCATATGCATGGGTGGGTGGTCATTTACTGGAGCAGGGGCAACTTACCAGTGGCTACACCACTAAAGAAAACACTCTACCTCCCCAGAAGCCATTCTTTTCATCCCCTCTTCCACAATATTCTCTGAGTCTTGGGTAAGGGAATGTCTCTTTTCAAAAACATTTTTTATCAATAAGATAAAAATCTTAAGAAATATCCTACAAAACCCTTGCCTCCCAAGGCTCAGGGATCATTGTAGCAGAGGAGATAGAAAGATTGTAAGAGCCAGAGGTGGGGGATGACCACAAGGAAACAGAGTTTTCCAGAAAACTTTGCAGTTACTCATAGGAATTCACAGCAATTGTAACAACATGCAAAAGACCTATGGAAGCTCAAGTCAGACAAATTTCCATCATGGACGGGGGTAGATGGGTAAGAATCCCCAACACTAGCTGAGAGACTATTGACAACTGACAGCAGCTGGGAGTGGGAGGATCAGTTTTCTTTAAAGATGTAGTGTTGGGTAAGATGACCAGGCTCCGGGAGATAGAATAACACCAAAGGGCATTTAGGGAAACAAATTAAATTCCATAGTCCTTAAAAATGATAATAAAGGATGTGAAACCAGGTGGGGTGGGTAAGAAGGGGGGGTTGCTGATAGGCAAGGTCTGAATATGATCAATATACATTGTGAAATTCTTAAAAATATAATAAATTATTTTTAAAAGACAGCATAGGAGGAAAATTTCTGAGTCCTTCAAGTCTGAAGGAACTGGCACAGAAGGTGGATAGGTTAGTTAGGTATAGACATTCTTGGAGGCAGCTTACCAGAAACAATTGTGTTAACTGAAAATAATTCTTATTTACCTTTCAGAATCAGTCTTTTGCAGCTGTTCATTACTGTATCAGTTTAACTTCTCGTTACTCTGTGTATGTTTGTGTGTGTGTGTGTGTGTGTGTGTGTGTGAGAGAGTGTACACATGTGTATATTGTGTCCATCTTTGTATCTTAGTGTTTT